ATCCCCCTGTGTGGATCTAACCTGGGCAGATCTAACCCACCCTTCACAAAAAGTGTCCTTAGCAAAACACCCAGATGAATAAATGCTGAAGAACAAATATCCCAAACTAACATGTAAACATTTATTCTTAAATAAAGAAATAAAGACAGTTCTGCAGCCAGTTGCACCAGCTGAACGTAAGTTTGGTCATAGCTTAGTTTGAATGTAAACTGCTACTACATTCAAGTTTACGAGCCGCTAGAATTTAACCAGTTGCATCAAGTAACGTAGTTTCAATGTAGCTTTAAGTTAAAATTAAGTTAAAATTTACACATACCCTGTAATAAGTGTAAGTTTTGCTGTAAAAAATCTGTTAAAATGGCTGGTCAATTTGATCAATGGCAAAACTATCAAGAGAACTGAGAAATTCTGTTACAGGGTCGTTCCAAAACCTGGTGGACGACTCTGTTCAAGAACACAAGTCAACTGCATAAAGAGCAATAAGAGCAGCTCCATCACTGCTCAGATTGTGGGTGACGCTGACTTTATTATCATAGAATACATAACACACATTATTTTTGAAATATAACTAATATAGCTAACATTACCGTTCTGTCATTCGGCAGATTCAAAGAGTGATTACATTACCCGCAGCACGGCCAACATTGCCGACTGTTGATTGATCAAGTGCCATTAAAATATTGTGCATGAGAGCCCAGTGTGAACATCTGAAATATTCACACATACAAGAGATGGACACCACTTTTGTGAACACTGCTTTATTGTAAAAGTTTCTTTTTGAGTTATAGTGAATATGATGACACACCTTAAGCAAAGTAGGTGTGACTTGAAAAAGAAAGAAATGCAAGCTCTTTCACTGCATGTAATCTTTCCTGTTTATGTTGGGTAGCATTACTGATTTGCTGTAGAATGAAAATGTCATTCTGTGGAACAGCATTTTGATCTACAATCACTTTACGCACTACTAGTTAAGATATACCATCAGTGTCTGTGGTGCAACTGAAATTCTGTGTGTCACTAATTTAAACTACCTACTCTTAATGTTTAGGATAGACTTTACACCCCGATTTACGATGGAACTTGCATTCAGTGGAAATCTGACACAGAGGGCCAAACTAAGCTTTTGTGCCAGTTTAACACGTTAAATGAACCCATTTAGCCTGTGTATTATCTTGGTTGGAGATATTAGCTCTACTTGAGTGTGAGAATGAGATGATTTTCTCAGCATCTTTAAACCACAGAGAGGAATCTTAATATAGATGTGGTTTGTCTGTCTAGCTTTTGTCAAAGCTACAAACCTAACCACAGTGTGACTTATTGAGGGTAAAAGTCAGTGAAGCCATTGGGAGAGATTCAGAAGAGAGAGAGAGAGAGAGAGAGAGAGAGAGAGAGAGAGAGAGAGAGAGAGAGATTTTCAAGATGTATTCAGTTTTTAACTTGGTATGTGAGGAATGTTGAATAAAAGTTTTGTAACACTTCAGAATATAGGGATATTATAATGTACTTGTTATGATGTCTTATTAAGCATTATCGTTCCAATAGCTCCTAATTTACTGGCTGCTATTGCAATTTGCAATTTGTGTATTATACATTATAAGGTGGTATACAACTCATGAAGTGCTCTGGAAAGTGCAACAATATTCTATTATTGCATGGAATGGAAAAACACAAAGTACATTTCTTTTCCACATTCATATACATTTGAGAGAGAACTGTGCATAGAAATGGTTCGAGATATTGGGACTGTGATTGTATATTTAGTTCAACTCACTAAGGTTTGGCCAAATACCGGAAACCCATTTTGTTAGTAAATTTGGTAACACTTTAAGAGTGAAAAATGAAAGAATAATTACGTTTTAAAGTTATTAACTACTCATTAATTATTCAATCACTGTCAGCTATTTTTAGTAAAGCATTAACTTAATATACTTCATAACTGACTACACTGTTACACTGTTTATGCTTTTTTATTACAACCTCATTTCCAAAAGAGTTAGAATGCATTGCAAAATAAAAATAGAATGCAATGTTATGTAAATCATGAAAAACCTCTATTTAATTGAAAATAAAAATTTTGAATTTGATGCCAGCAACACATTTAAAAAAAGTTGGAATAGGAGCATATTTACCACTGTGTTATATTACTTCTTCAACATCCTGTCTCGCCCTGTCTTTGTCTTTTGGTTCTGTCGGTGTCTGCATTTTGTTTACCAGTCCCAATTTATATAGTGTCTCTAATAACTGTGTAGTTACATATGAATAACATATGCAACAACACCTTAACTGCTGATCATTTAGTCAAGGTTACATACAGAAGGACAACCTATGTAATTATCCATGTGTATCAACTTCAGTTTTACCTCATATAATTATACAAGTGTATTTTTTAATACACTACAGATCAGAAGTCTTTTCCAGCAGTTAAAGGAAGTATGTTTTACATAACATTACATTTATATTTTGCATAATTACTGTTGAATATTGATGTTGTAACAAGGTAACCTAATCACATCACATTAATACAGTTCTGTAATCACACTGTACCTTTTCCATCATATATTGGTTCTGTATATTAGAAAGCAAAAGCCTCCCTCTAGTGGAAAGCACATGAATAGAACCTGAATCTGCTCTTATCTGCAAAAGATCAGAAACAAATACAGTAAGTTAATAAGGATTTATTTAAACCTTATTTACCACTGTAAAAACACAAACTCTCTCTCTCTCTCTCTCTCTCTCTCTCTCTCTATATATATATATATATATATATATATATATATGTATCGTGTTTGTCCTTTTACAGTGTTATTACATTAAATCTGATGATAAACACACCCTGTATAATGTTTTAGTTGAAAAGAGCTTTCATTAACACTTCTACTAATTTTCATTCCCAAAGTTTTGCTGGTGCCTCTATTTTGCTAACTTTTAAAACTTGCACCTCACAAGCTGAATTGAGAAACATTTGGGACTGTGCTTGTCATGCACACGCACACACACACACAAACATATATCTTGACACACACACACACACACACACACACACATCAATTATGTCAATTATGTGAAATGATTTATTTTTTAATGATCTGCTAATTTGATCTATTTGTGCCACTTTGAACATTTCAGGCTGATGGTGATTATGAAAATTATCCACCTGGGGACCAAAACAACATCAGAATGGACCCAATCTACCAGAGCCTAGACCCTAACACCAGCCAATCAGATTCAGTGTACCAGACTCTAAACCCCAACACCAACCAATCAGATTCAGTCTAAGAGAGTTTAGTGTAGACAAGTATAGATTTTGTAATCTATACCTGGTATTGATCTTTTCCCTAAAACATAACAAGTTAAACAGAAGAATTGTTTTATTGATGCTCATCTTCATGCACTGTTTGAAGATAGACTACATTTTTATTTGCTAAATGACTTGAGTGATATTTTTTGCTCTCCACTGAATAGGAGAAGTAAAACATTTTTTTTTAAATTCATACATATGTTTATATAATTTGGCATTTCCAGTTTTATTTTATTTTAAATAATTGTAAATTCTCAAATGTTTTCAAACTTTTTACTCACACATACGACTCATGTAAAGATATACATTTTCTTCTGTATGTTCCAAGTTAACCTGTTGGGACACATTTCAAAGTTGCTTTAATAGTTTCTTCCTAGCTATTTAACTGATTATAATTTAACCTCCGTGTTGACTATTTTTTATTATTTTTTATTTTTTATTTGAAGCCCTGATAGTGTGTGCATTTTTCCTTGTGTTTAATAAACTGTGTCTGTGAGTTACTATTTCAGTTGTAATTTTTTCACATATATCTTTGATGGGAAATGAGGCTTGCTTCTGTCATTAAAGTCAAATACTCTGATTACCAACCTATTAAGGATTAAGGCAGGTCAAGGAAGGCTAATAGAGTCCCGCTATATGTATGCAGTTCAAAACAATTTATTTGGCAAATGTTAAAAAAGATTTCAGATCCCAGAATTTACAGCACGAGAGATGAGACAAGAAGTGCATGTCAAAGATAAATTCTCAGAAATTAGCAAGGGTTAACAGAGTTGACAAAGAATATTCCCACTGTATTTGCCACTGCTCAAGTACCCACAATCCTTCTGATCCCTCAAACACTCTAATTGCCACTTCACAGTTACCCACAATCTCCTCTGATTAACCACACACTTGTCCAATTTATATGTCCAGACTCTGGCACTATGGCAATGATCTGAAATATTATATACTAAAAATGGGCTAAAAGGGGGCTTTGGCCTTCTATTTTTACTCTCTTCTGGTTTGTGAAGATTATTCCTCAGGGACACAAACCTGACAAGGATGTAAGCAGCACTAAAACTCTTGAAATCCTGCTAACTAAACACTGAAGATGAAGAAAGTCTCTCAGTCCATTATGTGGGTCCCTTTTGTTGGCACTAATTGATACTATTAACTTGAACTTTTGGTCTTGTGTGCTTTTGTTATGCTTTGTATTTCACCCATTCAGGTGTTTTGCTTTGCTCTGTGTTGCTCCAGTAAAACCACTTTAGAGATAAAAACCTCCACCGTGTCCTGGTCTGCATTTGTTCTTAGCTCTTTTGAAACTGTGAAAATAACCCCGTGGTAAATATTAATGAAACTGCATTTTGCGTAATGGTACAGTCTGGTATGCCAGTGATTGGTGTTTAGATTTCTGTTCAGACATCTCTCTTGATAAGAGTATTTGCCGTAGGTGAAATTTTATGTTGCGCTTCCTTTTTTTACCTTGAGGCCCTGCCCCTAAAATCCCTGTGCATATGCCTGACCTGTACCAAGACTCATAAGACCTGATTCCAAAGGTTTTACGGTTCTGTTCTGATGAGGTGATGTCACATTAGGAATCTCAATGAGCTCATCCTATGCAATTTGATATGTGGACACTGCTTGGTGAGGGTGGGAGGAGCTAGGGGTATATCAACTCTGAAACAGGAAACAGCAAACAGAAAAAAGAAGAGTTTTTAAAGATCACTGAAGACGAATTTCAGTTCAGGATGAAGATCTTCTTCACTCTCCTGATGTCAGGTCTGATCTCATACTGTAAGTAACATAACATTGTTTGTAGAGTTTAATCAGTTGAAATAGTCTTTGTTCTGTGTGTTTGTACTTATTCTGATTCTGAACTGTAGAGGTGAGAATATTTGCAAGGTTTTAATGGGATCAATGAGTTTAATAAGAAACTTCAATTTGATTGGCAGGTCCAGTGAGCTGCTTTGATGTGATTGGTTACCCAGGACGTTTTGTCATGATCTACTGTGATCACCAACAGTCTGGAGAGTTTAATAAATATTTTTGTAAAGTAAAAACGAAAGAGTGCCTCTATGCTCAAATGCAGAACACATGGGCTCACCATGAGAAAGTTTATCTATCTGACTTTGCTGAATATTTAACAGTGACCTTTGGACCAATGAGTTTACAGGATTCTGGATTATATCAGTGTGGAGAGACTGGTGTGTGGAATTATACTGTGAACCTCAAAGTCAATGAAGGTGAGAAATGCTGGAATCATATGAATATAATTTGTCATTTTAATCAGAAATCCTGCTGATAAAGTTGGTTATCCAGCTTCAACAGTTAGCAAAAAAACAGCGTTCAGCTCAGCCTCTCAGACTCAGGCATGTTGATCTTTCAAGAAGTGTTTGAGATGCTTTTGGGGAGGATTAATCACTAAATCCTTCACATTCCAGAAACACCGGCATCTGTTCACAGGCCACATTTGTAATCCTCAGAACAGAAATGTTGATTACATATTGTCATATCTGAATCTCTGTTTTGGATCATTTGAATGATTTGGTTTTGTATTGCCTCTAAAATCTGGTTTCTATTGGTAAATAGAAACCAGATGGCAAGTGACACTTCTCGCTTTAATTTTCTTGTAAATTGTACACTCAGACATAGCACAAAGGGTCAGCATTGTTTTCACAAATATTGCATAATTATTAGATTAGATTAGATTAGATTAGATTAGATAATCCTTTATTAATCCCACAACGGGGAAATTTGCAGTGTTACAGCAGCACAGAAGACAGAGCAGCAGGAAATATACAAACAATATATAAAATAGAATAAACAAAAAAAGTATAAAGATATATATGTATATGTACAAATGAAGGTAAACTCATGAAGGTAAAACTCAAAACAAACTCACTTCAGTTTCCCATATCTGCACACTCACAGCCTCTGGAAGTAGCTGAATGCTGCAGTGCACTGTGGAACCTACAGTCCACTTTTTTTTTAATTGTTTTTGCATGGTTCATGATTCAAGAGCGATTGGTCAGAACGGTTGTGAGTCAGCCATTTAATGAGACAAAGTCCTGTGTGGTCACTGAGATACTCAAAGTAAAATTGTACTTATTGTGCTTAATTGACAGATCAATGTTGTTTGGGGCCAAACACTGTGACTGCTTTTCTGGGAGAGACTGTCACCATCAACTGTTCATATCCAGAGCAGTTTAAGAGAAAAACCAAGCTCTTCTACAAAAAAATCCATAATCAATATTTTACTGCAGTGACTCAGTCTCAGAGAGACAGATTCTCCATTTCTGATAACAGAAGATCTAAAGTTCTCAGTGTGAGTATCAGTGATGTGGGAGAAGATGATGGAGGAGTTTATTTCTGTGGAGCTGGGACTGGAGGAGGGTTAATCAGTTACAACTCCTTCTTTACAGAGATTCAGCTTCGGATTACTGGTGAGATACATTAACTTTTCTCACTGTTTCTTCTACCTTCTCTGTTTTCTTGTTACTTGTATTATAAGTGACAACAGCAAGTGATTTCTAATTGAATTGACAATTATATAAAAGCATTTGTATAATAAGAAAAAATATGATTTAATCACCAGTTTGTTGTTTTCATATTGTCTTAAATTTCTGACTGATGAAATGACAAGGAGAGGAAATAATTACACTTGATATAATTGTTAGTCAGTTGAAATGTTAACATCTCTGAGTGTGAGAACAAGAAGACTTTATCATCATCTTTAGCCACAGAGAACAGAGGAATCTTAATATAGGTTTGGTTTGTCTGTCTGGTATTTTGAGCTAATGTCTCAGCATGACCACATTGTGTATGTCCATATACATGATGAAATGAAAGCAAAGACTTTCATTTCACTAAATGTTGTTAAAAAGCATGTGATTTATAAAACATGAAAAGCACTCTGGAAAATGCTTGATTCAGCTTAGTTACAATGCTTATAATACAATGATTATAATATATTATAATATTATCATATTATAAGATGACCCCATACTGAAGTATTATCCTCTATTTATTTGTGTTTTTTTGAAATTAGGACAGGAAACATCTACTTTGCCAATAGAAATAGCACCAAGTTCAGCAGCTTACACCACAACATCAACAGCGCCAACAGCAATCACATCTGATGAAGAGCATTTCAGTATGAACAAATTTGTTATGCATAACTACCTCTTTCATTCTATTTTCTTGTTAAATATGTTCAGACAGGAGTTCAGTGGTGTAGGCTTCACATATGGTATGTGATCTACAGATCAGGCAAGTTCAATTATAATGCAGAGGGTCAAATTAAGCTTTTCGTGCCAGTTTCACACATAAATTGAATCAATTGTTCTGGTGTATTATCTATGAAACAGCTGTATGAGCCTAAACATGTAATGTATGCATGTAGTTCATTGGGTAAAAGATATAGATATCAGCTCCTGTCTGAGTGTGAGAATGAGATGATTTTCTCATCATCTTTAAACCACAGAGAACAGAGGAATCTGAATATAGGTTTGGTTTGTCTGTCTGGTTTTGGTCAAAGGTCTAAACATGACCACAGTGAGATCATGCATGATAAAAGTATTTACCTTATTGAGGATCAGTGGTAGAAATGCAGAGAGGGAGACAGAGAGAGAGAGAGAGAGAGAGAGAGAGAGAGAGAGAGAGAGAGATCTTCATGATATATTCCAGTAGTCTCCAACTGTGGTCCTGGAGATCTACATTCCTGCAGACTTCAGTTCCAACCTGCATCTAACATGCTGCCCCTCCTTAATTAACACTAACGCATCTGATCCAGCCAATCAGGAACTTCTGAAGATTGTGGTTGGAACTAGACACTGCAGGAAGGTAGCTCTGCAGGACCAGGGTTGGACCTAAAATGTCATAAATGTTGTTTTATAACACTTCAGTACATGGGAAATTTATTATGTGCTTATAACTCTTTTATTAAGCTTTATCTTTCCAATAGGTCCCAATTTACTGGCTACACATTACTGCTTTATTAAACAATAACTAGATTGAATTAAGACCTTTAATGTGTGCATTATACATCATAATATTGTGCAAAACCCTTACCTAATCTATAATTAAGTTGACACTGTGTCTGTATTTTGATGTCTGTCAGTACCTCAATAAAATATCACAAATTATTGTGGCTGATTTGGATTTTAACACTCAAGTTGCCAATACTCATTTTTTTTGTGGCCAATTTCTTTTAGCCTTTCTAACCTGAAGCTTACACAGTGTGGGCTAAATGAACACATGATGCACACAAGCACTTTCCAGCACTTTTTATTAGCTAAACATAAATAACATTATTTGCTATTTAAAAGACCAAACTAGAATTTTAAATTTCCTGAATGAAAAATGAGTTGCCTAAATGAATCAAATACATTGCTGTATTGAAAGTAATAGGGAACTGGTTAGGGGACAGTTTTATACTATAAACATTGCATTTAAATTGCAATTGCAATTGTTTCTAATTTTTTATATGGGGAAAGTTACTAATAGGAACAATATGTTCTGAAGCAGCTAACTTCTGCCTAAAGAATTAATTTTTACACTGTATGTCTATGGGCTTACAATTTTAACATACACCTTCTATAACCCAAAAAAAAAGCTTTGCATTGAAGTCCCTGTAGTTACTGAACAATAAGCCTTTGTATGTAAAAAGCTTGTGACATTAACGTATAAATGCACATAAAACACTCAGGGAAATGCTTAATTCAGCTATTGCTTAACAATGTAGTATTGAGCAATCAGTAACTTACTACTACTGGTTTGATAGGGCTTAATAAAGCCATTGCACAAGCACTATAATTATAAAATAGCTGTGTTTTCTTTGTATGTGTAAAACCAGAAAAACAACTATTAACTACGCCAAAGGAAACGGCACCAGCAAGTTCAGGCAGAGACTGACCCATGGCCCTACTGGAAATAAATAAAGGTTAGAAAATAGTGCTGATGTGTGAAAAGTATTTGTTCTTTCTCCAGGTTCCTCTGTCATTATCATCACTGTGTGTGTCTGTGTGGTTCTGCTGCTGATTGGAGGATCAGCACTGATCTGCTACAAACTGAGATGCAAGAAAACACAAAGTACTGTTCACATATTTTCTGACAAACACACTCACAGATGTCCTCTTTTAATGATAAAGAGGATTTTAGGTCTATATTGGTTCTATATATTAGAAAGTAAAAGCCATCAATGCAAAACACTCCCTCTAGTGGAGAACAAATGAATAGAACATTTTCATGATGAATGTTCTCTCTCTTTCTGCAGGCTCTGCCATTATCTGCAAAAAATCAGAAAGAAACACAGTAAGTCAATAAGGTTAATTAATAAAGGATCATTTTCAGCATAAAATATGAAACATATCTTGATAAAAACTGTGTTCTCTTTACATCTCTGAACACATTCAGCTTTGTCTTCAAATATCTCTACCATTTAAATCCAGGAAAAAAATTGGCAGCAGTGCTCAGAAAGCAAACTTGCAGAAATGTATTTTTACTGTTGAAAAAAAAGCAAACAAAAAAAAACAAACAAAAGAAGGAAAAAAGTTCTTTACTTAGAACTCTAAGTTAGCAGTTGGTGCTTATGAATTCTGTGTGTGTATTTTGTGTTTTTATTTTTATGATTTTTTATTTCTAATTTGATCTTTTTATGCTGCTTTAAAAATTTCAGGCTGATGATTATGAAAATTATCCACATGGAAACCAGAACAACATCAGAATGTACCCAATCTACCAGAGCCTGGACCCTAACACCGGCCAATCAGATTCTGTGTACCAGACTCTAAACCCCAACATCCACCGATCAGATTCAGTCTACCAGAGCCTAAACCCCAACACCAACCAACCAGATACAGTCTACCAGAGTTTAGTGTAGATAAGTGTAGATTCTGGAATCTATACCTGGTAATAGAAGAATTGTTTTATTGATGCTCATCTTCATGCATTGTTTGAACCATGTTTATTTGCTAAATGACTTGAGATACATTTTTTTTTGTTCTCTACTGAATAGGAGAAGTGAAACACTTTTTTCTTTATTTGTACATATGCTTATATTCTGCCATTTCTGCTTTTATTTTATTTCAATGAATCGTAAATTATTTAATGTTTTCAAACGTTCTCCTTTAGGATGCATCTATGACAGCTGTATGAGTTTTTTGTCTTTTGCCTACACTAACCTGCCAATCAATCAAGGAGGTAATCAGAGTAAAAAAAATATATATTTTTTCAAGTTTTTTGATTCAAAGCCCTGATAGTGTGTGAATTTTTCTGTGTGTTTAATAAACTGTGGATGTGGGTAGATAAGATAAATTCCCAGAAATTAAAGAGTTTTAATATAGTTGACAAAGAACATTCCCACTGTATATGGCACTACTCAATTACCCACAATCCCTCTGATCCCTCAAACACTGTAAATGCCACTTCACAGTTATCCACAGTCTCTTCTGACTAACCACACACTTGTCCAATTTAAATCTCCAGACTCTTTGGCCCTGTATCTTTACTCTCTTTTGGTTTATGAAGATTTCATCTCAGTAACACCAACCTGACATTGATGCATGCATCACCAGAACTCTTGAAATCCTGCTAATAAAACACTGAAGATTTCCTTAAGAAAGTCTCTCAGTCCATAATATGGTTATTTTGATCAACTCCCAGACATAATGTTGGCACTAACGGGTGCTAATCACTTGCTAACTCAAGGTTTGTTACTGTAAAAACAGGAATGTATGACTCTGTGGAGCTCACATTGTTAGAACTTGTCACAACTGAACACTAGATGTCACCAAAGCATCAGCACTTCTAGACCTTCCTAGGTGTGGCTTAAGTTAAACTCACCCCTGGGTTCATTAACCCTTGTGCTTCACCTGTGTCTCAGCTTGCTGGCTTTGTAATTCTCAGGATCTTGGGAACTTGGTTCAGTCTTGACACAGCATGTGCACTGTAGTGTCTGACTTTTTGCCTTGCTTTTTGTAATTTTCTGTTTTCTTGGAGCTTTTACACCTGTCTCTCTTTGCTGAAGCAAAACCACTTTGAAGCAAGAACCTCCACTGTGTTCTGGTCTGCATTTGTGCTCAGCTACTTTGAAATGGTAACAATGACCCAATGGTTGATAGTAATTAAACAGCTTTGTGAGCAGTGTTACAGTTTAGTATGCCAGTGATTGAGGTTCAGAACTCTGTTCAGAGAGTAACATTCACTGCCTTGAGAAAAACTCTTGACTTTACTGTCTCTCTTGATAAGAGTGTTTGCAGTAAGTGAAATTTATGTTGCACCTCCCTATTTTACTCTGAACTCCTGCCTCTAAATGCCTGTGCATATGCCTATGAACCAAGACTCATAAGACCTGATTTCAAACTGTTCTTTTTAATAATGTATGTGAAAGATAACAAGCCATGTATTACAGATTTTAAAACATATCTTTAAAACTGGTTCTACAGTTGTGTTATAATGAGGTCATGTCACATCAGGAAATCTCAATGAGCTCATCCTTTGTGTTTAATTTGGTGTGTGGTCTCTGGTTGATAAGGGTGGGAGGAGCTAGAGCTATATCAACTCTGGTACATATTAGAGAAACAGGAAACACCAGACAGAAAAAAGAAGAGTTTGTGAAGATCAGTAGAGGAGAAATTTTACTTCAGGATGACGATCTATTATTTCTTCATCTTCTACCTGATCTCAGATTTGATATTATATGTCAAGTAACATGAAGTTGTTTTTAGATTATAATCAACTGAGGTAGATTTTGTTCTGTGTTTTTGTAGTTATTTTTAATCTGAACTCTAGAGATGAGAATATTTGGAGGGGTTTAAAGGGATCAGCGAGTTTAATGAAAAACTTCAATTTGATTGGCAGGTCCAGTGAGATGCTTTGATATGATTGGTTATCCCGGAGGTTCTGTGATGATCTACTGTGATCACCAACAGTCTGGAGAGTTTAATAAATATTTTTGTAAAATCAAACCGAAAGAGTACCTCTATGCTCAAATGCAGAAAACATCGGTATTCCACAAGAGGCTTTCTCTGTTTGACTCTTCTGGAGTCTTTGTAGTGATCTACAGAAACCTGAGGTTACAGGATGCTGGATTATATCAGTGTGGAGAGACTGGAGTGTGGAATAACATTATGAACCTTAAAGTCAATGAAGGTGAGAAATGCTGGAATCATACAAGAGTAATTGTCCTCAAATTTTAGTCAATTCCTACTGATAAAATTTGCTATTCAGCTGCAACAGTTAGCAGATCTCACCTCAGCCTCTCAGACTCAGGGATGTTAATTAGCCGGCTGCCACACGGCATTGTGGAAGTTATGGTCCACTTTTTAAAATTAGTTTTGCATGATTTGTTGATTGAGTAATTGGTCAGAACAGTTGTGAATCAGCCTTGTAATTAGAAGAGGTCCTGTGTGGTCACTGAGATATTCAAAGTTAAATTATTGAGTACATTTACTTATTTTATTTAATTAACAGATCCAGGTTGTTTGGGGGCAAAGACTGTGACTGGTTATCTGGGAGAGACTGTTACCATCAACTGTTCATATCCAGAGCAGTTTGGAGGTTAATATAGGTTTGGTTTGGTTTGTCTGTCTGGTATTTGAGCTAACGTCTCAGCATGACCACAGTGTGTATATCCATATATATGATGAAATGACTTTTATCCTCAGTAAGGGTAAATGCAAAGCTAGAGATAATAGGAGAGAGAAAAAATTATGGATCATAATCTCATGCGCAACTATTACTGAGTCTTTAATGTGTTTATATTCTTTTTATAATCAGATCAGAAGACCTTCCTGTTCTTTATAAGGCTCATTAAGCACTTATAATTATTATTATAATTAAGCACATATTATTATAATGTGTGTATGTACTGAGGCATTATTGTGTTTTTACCTGTGTTTTTGAAATCAACTTCGCCAAAAAGTTCAAACACCAAGATTAAACCAACATCAGCAACTTACAGAACACCATCAACAGCGCCAACAGCAATCACATCTGATGAAGAACATTTCAGTAAGAACTCATTTGTTATTCATAACTACCTCTTTCATTCTTTATTCTTGTTAAATATGTTCAGGCAGGAGTTCAGTGGTTTAGGCTCCACACCATACAATATCAATATCGTATTTTCTGCTGTCTGATTTACAGATCAGGCAAGTTGAAATATGATACAGAGGGTCAAACTAAGTTTTTTGTGCAGGTTTCACACATAAATGGAGTCAGTTTTGCCAGTGTATTATCTATGAAACTGTGAAGCTGTATGAGCCTAAACATGTAATGTATGCATGTAGTTCATTGGGTAAAAGATATAGATATCAGCTCTTGCCTGAGTGTGAGAATGAGATGCTTTTCCCATCATATATAAACCACAGAGAACAGAAGAGTCTGAATATAGGTTTGGTTTGTCTGTCTGGTTTTGGTCAAAGGTCTAAACATGACAACAGTGAGATCATGCATGATAAAAGTATTTACCTTATTGAGGATCAGTGCAGTCAAAGGTAGAGATTCAGAGAGAGAGAGAGAGAGAGAGAGAGAGAGAGAGAGAGAGATCTTCATGATATATTCCAGTAGTCTCCAACTCTGGTCCTGGAGATCTACATTCCTGCAGACTTCAGTTCCAACCTGCATCTAACATGCTGCCCCTCCTTACCTAACACTAATGCATCTGATCCAGCCAATCAGGAAGTTAATTATCAGGAGTAGCAGATTGTGGTTTGGAACTAGACCCTGCAGGAAGGCAGCTCTGCAGGACCAGGGTTGGACCTAGAATGCCATAAATAATACCACAGTATAACACTAGTATATGGGAAATTTATTATGTGCTTATAACTCTTTAATTAAGTGTTATCTTTCCAATATGTCCTAATTTACTGGCTGCTTTTTACTGCTTTATTAAACAATAAGTAGATTAAATTTAGACCTTTAATGTGTGCATTATTCATCATAATACTGTGCACAACCCTTAACTAATGTATAATTGAGTCAACACTGTGTCTGTAATTTTTTGACGCCTGTCAGTACCTCAATAAAATACTTTACCAATAAGCTCTAAATTAAAATAAACTGACTTTCTATTCAATAAAACATTTCTATTTCACTAAGAGGGTGCTAACTTCTGGTAATGAAAGCACTGTTTTTTTCTTAAGTCAGATTGGCCAATACTCAATTTTTGAGGCCACTTTCTAATAGACTTTTTCACCTGAAGTTCACACAGTGTGGCTAATTGAACACATAAAACACACTAGCACTTTGCCAGCACTTTTATGATCTAAGTATAAATAACATTATTTGCTGTTTAAAAAAACAAACTAGATATTTCAATTTCCTAAATGAAAAATGAGTTGTCAAAGGAATCAAATAAAGTGCTGTGTTGGAAATAATAGGTAACTGGCTAGGGGACAGTTTTGTACTATAAACATTGCAGCTAAATTGCAATTGTTTCTGATTGTTTATATGGGGAAAGTTGTTAATAAGAACAATATGTTCCAATGTAGCTGATTTCTGCCTAACAAATTAATTTTTACACTGTATGTCAATGTATATTTAAATATATCAATGTTATGTATTTAATAAAATGAATCACAACACAGCATGAGATTTATTAGATTTTGTAAAACAACAACAGAGAAAGTTACAGAGTCTAGGATTAAGATCCACAGTACAGTCAGCTAGAATGACAAACCATGGTCGAATCTGGTAAGAATTTCAGTAAGAGCTCCCTTTTTCATTCTATATCCATTTTTAAAGGACAAGGCTTCCTACCTTGAATTTGAACAGATGTGGAGCCAGACGATTCCTGGTTTGATAGCAAGGTGCCCTTCATCTACAACATGACATCACTACACCTGCACAGTGACCTAAGACTTTTTTATCTCTTTTTTA